ACGAGCTGATAATGGTGTTAATAATGTTAATAAACCTCCTATTAATACACATCCACCAAATATCCATTTAGCATCAAATTTTTCTGCAAAATTTTCTGTACAAAAACATTTTTATTTGTAAAACGAACAATATATCTAGTATGTGTGACTAAAAAACTATTAAAAGAAAAAAGAACAAGATACAAAGGCGTAGCGTATAACATGTATTATAAAACTAAGATATTCCGACAATTAAAAACCATTAGCACTATAATTTAATGAAATTTGGCCTTCTCTTAAGAATAATTATTCTGTTAATACTACTTGATTTTTTTACTTTTAATTTAACACAAAAAATACGCAAATATCGTCTGAAGACATCAAAGTTGACTTTGTTTTTCGAGAGTCGACTTAAGGAAGTTTTAGCAGCTAATATGATCTAGGTGAGGCCGCCTCCGTACGCGCAGTGCATGTCTCTGATGTGGTCCATACATACAATGTTTACGAAATATTTTGTAATCAAATTCAATAATTATTATAGAAAGTAAAATAGTTTTTATTTAAACTAAAAACATCTTTTGAAATCAGAGTATTGCTAAAACATGCATAATTCGAACGGATTATATGTTACAACAAATGAGTAGTTTTATTAAAAGAAGAAAACTTCGTTTGATTGAAATTAATAATTTTGCTCTTGGACTTGGTGCAACAGCTAAACTTATTTACAAATGGCATAAGTAAAAGGATTATTCTTTTTTTGAAAAAGTTTATTTTATTTTTAGACGAACTTTAACTCGAATACAATCAAAACTTTCGTCACAAGTAAATATAAAATACTAAAGTATAGATTCTATATTTATCTTTATTATCAATATAAGTTACCTGCTAATGAATCGCATCATCTAATTATTAATACTCTATTTAAATCATAGGAAATTTATAATAATTCAAATTCGGAAAATCTCGTTCAGTTATTCTTATTGGTTTTATTATTTAGGGTTAATAATTCTCTTTATTATATTTGAACGTGAAATTGATATAGGTGATGAAATACGAATTGAACAAGGTCTTCTTTCATGTGGAAATTCTTCTCTTCTGATTAAGTATGTAACATTCAGTGATATTTATCGATGCTGTTCTCTTGACTCCAAAGGCATTGTTTACTTGTTAGCTTTTATTTCATTTCAATTATCATTAAACAAAAAATGAATGGTATGTCTTCAATAAATTTAGTGGTGATTTCGAAGTTGGACTTGTCTATTATCTATTAGATTATAATTCAAAACATTTGTATAATGAAGATGTAACAAAAGATTCTTCTGAAAAATTAAGTTTATGCCATATTTATATTCGACTTGGCAAGCATAAATCATATTAGAATCATCACAAACTGTTAAATGTTCTACTTCAAGATATCATTTAGCTGGAATGAAAGGTTTTTGTTAGTCTATACCTCGACTAACTTCATTATCTCTATCTTCTCGTCTGACTTCATTTCACGTGAAACAACCACACAACGAGAAGAAAAAAAAGAAAGGAAAAAGAAAAGTAATATCGATCAAATATATCTCCACTACCTGACAATTTCAATTGGCATTGATCGAAATCTACAAGATTATATCGATTCAATTAGTAAAGATTAGATTAATTTGTTCTTCTGTGTTTTCAGATACAACGGATCCAAATCCAGATCATTCAATCGAGGATTTGATAATAAATTCGTTAATTTGCCATGATGCAAATACAATTCCAATTAAGCACATACATCTGACTAATGCAGAAATGGACGAATATCCTCCAACAGAAAGTGCTGATACTATTGATGTTCTCACTACATTATCTAAAAAAGAACAAATGTATTAACTTCATCAACCATTTAAGTATTCGTTTTAAAATTAAAGAAGTTATTATAATTGATTCTTTAGAAAAAGTCATTTTTAGAGTCAAGTAAAAATATACTTTTATGTATTCAATCGTAAAAGTGCTCTTTTAGATTCGAACGTGAAGTAGAAGCATAAGTTGTGAAGGTTATTGTCAATTTCGGCAAAGATTATATTGATGATCTTGTGGATGAATCATCTAATTTATCATTAGTTTAACTTGTTCTTTTTCAGGACTGGCCCAAGGTAGCAAAGACTGGGGGATTGTTTCGGGTTTTTGTAATGGAAGTAAACATTTTTTTCTAACAGAATGCATGAAAAAGCTATCGCCTCCGCTGGGAAAAAACGAAAATTTTCGATTATTGGGGAGTGTGATTCTGGCAACCCCCACAACCCCCGGTCAGGCCAGCCCTGTTCTTTTTATAAAAAAAACCACGAACAGCGTGTATTTTATCAGATCATTTAGTTAT